TGCTTCAATATTTTTTTTAAAAATAATACAGTAAACTATTATTAATGTTTGAAAATCCACTACACAGAGTGTTCCGGTTTAACTGAAATTAAAAGAAAATTAAAAAAGGAGAACATGTGAAGATATATTAACCTTTTAGGGCTATTATCGAGTATATAGTTATAGACATAATATATTTCAAAAATATTTTAATATATTGCAAAAAAATTGAATAAAATTCACGAATATTTTATGTTTGTTTCTCTTTAACGCCAACAAATATATAGGAACAAATTAACAGTTTGCTTTTTTCTATAACGTAGAAGTCAAATTCTTAATAATTATGCACTTGTAATTTATATCTATACTATCACTTACGAAATGATTTTTTGCAACAGAGTTCTCATGTTAAAAATTAGAGTGATAATACCAATTATACTTTCAAGGAATAAAATATATAAATTAGCTAAAAATTAAAAACAAATTTTATATTTATTTTACTAGAATATTTGCTAAAATTAATAACAATAAGAATTATTCAAAAATAAAATATATATTTTATTTTAAGAAGGTAATTCTTATATATATTATATTGTTATCCAAAAATTATCTTTTAATAAAAAATAAATTCAAAACACAAAATACATAATTAAATATTAATAAAAAAATCTTAATTTTATATATTTGAAAAAGAATATTGAATTATTATTAATATTTATTTACTAATAATAAATATATTACAAATATATTTTCAAAAACTAGAGTATATAAGAATTTTCTAATAAAAACATAAATAATAATTTATTTTTATAATAGTTTAGTTAGTAATACATTTACTAATAATAATTAATTATAAAAATGGTTAAACCCGTATATAAGGGTAAAACACCTTATATTTTTTATACACCTAACAAAACTGAGCAAGACGATTGCAAATATCATAGAGCAAGAAGTATTAAGATTTACGTTCGTTCGTGAAAAAGGAAAATTCGATTCGCCAACGGGCGAGCTGACCATACATATACATTGTATAGTTACAAAAAATGATATACATTGTATCTTTTTTTTACAAGTTACAAAAAAACGTCACATCAAGATATTGGGTGGTATTGAACCATGGCTCACGAAAACTCGTGGCTGTTAGAATGATCGGTTGTCTGGTATATGTTCGCATCATATACAACTGACTTATAAGGTACAAGTAGAACAATCTGAAAGTGCATGCAATCGAGTCACTTTGTTTTTAACTATACGACAGATAACAAGACTCGAGAGTCTTTATTGGCCCACATAGTGAAATATTTATTCCACCATTCACGTGCGAGTTGAAGTCCAACTCCGACCACTTGTGGCTAGATGCGCCTGACGATCGAGAATCTAATGTTAGGACACCCCCTGTAATATTATTAAGATCGGTCGTTTGTACTAGTCAACTTCTAAATGTAGAATTTGGCCCTTTTGTATTAAACTTTCCCACCACTTAATCTATCTTTACATGGGTGACGGACAAAAAAAAAGTATTAAACTTTCCCAAATTCATTTTTTTGGACTAACTGCAAGTTAAAGGTATTAACGAAGTATTCACTCCGTCCCACAAAGATAAAAATGTTGGAAAAAGATTGTTTCACAAAAATAAAAATTTTGAGTGTTTCTATGAATTTCTATTATTAGTAATAGTAAATTGTAATTTTAAAAAATAATAATTGACTTTACTGAAATATTATTGATTTAACTTTATTGAAAATTGATATTTGAAAAATGATGCATTTATGATAAAAAAAAATACTTGATTCTCTTAATGTGTGAACAATTCAGAAATATTATATTTGTGGAATTGGGGGATGATAATTTGAAATAAAAACAAAACTTTTAAATGTAGAATTTAAATGGTAAATACCTAACTAGAGTTTTATTTTTGTTAGTAATATGCAATATGTTGGTTTAAACATTATGTGGTGAGAGATCTAACACATGCTAATAAAACAAACAATGTTTTTTTTTTTTGAACTGAGAAAAACAAACAATGTTAGAAACTATATATACAATTTTTTCTTTTCATTTTGTAAAAGGGCTAAGTATACAAAAATTGTATAGCCTCTCAGTTATAAATTATTTTTCAACCTCTATTCTCAATACACACTTACCTCTCAGTAACAATTTCAAATATAATCTACCAGTAGTATTTGATATATATGTGTGCTTGGAATTCTAGAGTTAGGAAAATGATTTTGTTTGCTTGAATGGACTGGATTATGGATATGTCTCACACTTGTGTGCTTCTGAGACATCGTCAATAACGTGAACGAGAGACCTTTTCTAGAAGTAGCATTTGCAGACCCATGTTTGCTGACATTACATACATGTACCTACACATGTTCATTGGAACAGAGACAAATGCAAGTTTTGAAGATCAGCTTTTTAAATACCAAGAAAAACTTCTAAACATCAAAACAAAACAATGTCTCATTCTAGTGTAAGAGATCAACTTCGTCTTTGTGTCAAGTACTTTTCTGGTTAAATGTTTTCCGAGTATTTTCTCAAACAAATTTTTATGCAGCATAGGACGAGCCTTTTCTTCTTCAGGAAACAAAAGATGTGAACCACTGCATAGGACTAATAATAATCAAAAGTGAGACACAGCTTTAAAGAAGATGCTAATCCTATGTTCTGTTTTAATAAAGGAAACATGAATACCCAGAACTAGGATAAAGATTTACCTTAAATGCTGTCATGAAGTCAATGGCTCAGCAGTGGATGCTTTCTGCATAGAGGCAGGCAGCCTCTGTTGAGCGACAACTTCCTTTGGCAAAAGTTGAGCTATTTCTTTCAACAGTACGATTTGAGCCTTCTCGGCCCTCACGGAAAGAAGCTTAAGTTTCATCCATTCCCTGTCAGTTCCAGTGATTGAAGCCTCATGTCGAGTTTCGTTATATCATGTTAACCAAGATTACCTTCGGAAGTTTCAGCCTCGAGCTTATGGTCAGTCACACCACTATGAAATAATGAGACACACTGTGACGGAAAGTCAATGGTATAAACTCTTCTTTTTTTTTCTTCAATCGTACATATAAACTCCTACCATTCATGTCAAATCCTCTGCATATACATTTGTGTTGTGAACAAAAAACAAAAATAAAATAAAACTAATCGAGGCAAATATCTGTTTTAAAGTTTGTATATTATTATGTGAATGAATAACTTTATAATCCCTTAGACCCATATTTATAGTAGTCTCAATCCGATTTCTTTTTCTCTATAGAAAACATACTTATATATATAAAAAAATATAAAAATCTCTAAACGGAAAATGCATTACCGTACCGTGGGGGCCGATCTCCACACTCCCATATATCAACTTTGATACCGCGTACAACAACAAATGCTGAGTTTTTACCGGTGTTCAGAGATTTAAGGAACATCCAAATATAACAATTTGCGACTTCCCTACAACAATTTGCCACTTCCCTAGACCTCGGGGATTAAACAAGAAGTTATTCAGATATTCCCAAATCATATTGTTAATGAATAAAATAATCATGTTGTTAATGAATCAAATAAAGATTATTGAAAACTAGATGGAAAAGTCTGGAGTAGCGTGGAAACGTACGTGGTGAATCCAACATCTTGTTAATGAATCAAATCAACATTTGATAAGTGTTAAACGCAGTTGTCACAATTTGATAAACGTGATGTAATTGACATTACTATACGTATGTCTATCTGTAAAGTTTAGCGTGTGACATGTGCTACGCAGCCTACGCTAACTAGCTAACATGGCCTGGTGAATCTCAAGATTTTGTAGCATAAATGTAATAATTCAGTACGTAATATTAAAGGTGAAATCTGAAAGATAGGTTTGTCTGTGTAACAAGGATTTATATGTTTATTTGTAAAGAACAAAACTAATAAGTAGGCCTGGACATTTTACCCGGATCCGAAGACCCGAACCGGAACCGACCCAAAAATACCCGATCCGAATCCGATCCGAAAATTTATAAGTACCTATTGGGTCTAAATTTCTTTTACCCGAATAGACCCGGACCCGAAAAGAACCGACCCGAATAGACCCGGACCCGAAAAGAACCGATCCGAATAGATCCGACCCGATAAGAACCGATTTGTACCCAACTTATAAACATCTATATCCAAAACTATTATTTTTGTGTTATGTTTTATATATCTATACTATTTTATAATTTAGTTGAAATATCTTTTGTTAACAATATTTATTATTATTTGTAACATTTTTAAGTAATATAAAGATTTAAAATGTAAAATTTAGAGTTTAAAAATGTTTTTTTTAATTATTAATAGTTTAATTTAATTTATTTTATAAAATTTTAGATATATATGAAATATATCTATACTATTTTATAATTTAGTTGAAATATCTTTTGTTAACAATATTTATTATTATTTGTAACATTTTTAAGTAATATAAAGATTTAAAATGTAAAATTTAGAGTTTAAAAATGTTTTTTTTTTAATTATTAATAGTTTAATTTAATTTATTTTATAAAAATTTTAGATATATATGAAAAATATTAACTGAATTTGAGTGAGTTTGGACATTTTATGTAATTTTTAGATTCTAAATACTCGGATCCGATCCGGACCCGATATGGATCCGAAAATTACGGGTATTTTACAGGTATTGGAATTATAGACCTGAACCGACCTGGATTCGGCAAGACCCGACCCGGAACCGACCCGAAAAATCCTAAGTACCCATGTGGTTCTAAATTTCCAAGACCCAAAAAACCCGGACCCGACAGGACCTGAACCGAACCCGACCCGATGACCCGGATGCTCAAGCCTACTAATAAGACAGTACTATTATTTGTAGAATTGTTGCAGACATGATAACTTGATAAGTAACAATGGACCCCACTATAAAAGTATGGACCCCAACGTTGCTTATTATACATTACATCACACGTCAGGATTAGTCAGGAACAGAAGATACTTACATGTCTACACGACATTTACGTGGGCTTATCATGTGCACAGATCTATCCACTGATCGCGCGTGTCCTCACTCGCCACATGTAAGGAACGTTCGATGTGCCACGTCATAGGCAGGAATCTTTGACAGGTTATAAGAATTGGCGGCGGAGAAATTTCGTACGCCTCCTCCGTTATTTTCTCAAAGAGGAGCAAATCTCGGCGATGGCTACGAACGGTGGTGACGCATCTCTTCCTCTAATAAAACCTTCACCGTCTGCAGTGACCGGAGATAGAACATCGGCTATTCAGACGCTTGGAAATATTATAGTCTCCATCGTCGGCACAGGTGTCCTTGGACTTCCTTACGCATTTCGCATCGCTGGATGGTTCGCTGGATCTCTAGGCGTTGTTATTGTTGGATTCGCAACCTATTATTGCATGCTCCTTCTCGTTAGTTACTTTCTTCCTTTCTTTTTAATCTCCTGACTTGAAATGAAACTTGATTTGGTCTTTCTATTAGGTCTGGACATTCGGATACCGGATCATGATCCTAGATTTGATTCGGGTTTCATATATGTTCGGATCGAGTTTGGTTAATAGAATTTAGAATTCGGGGAGATTTTATCTCAATTTGGTCTAGTTGATAATAATTTAGGTTGGTTACTAATACTTCGGGTATTAATTCAAATAATATATGAATTCTGTGTTATTTGTTTAAGTTGTGAATATTTATTTCAGATATTAATTTGTTTTTTTTTTGGATTTTCCGTATTCCAATTGAATATTCATTAGAGTTCGGGTTGGATTAAGAAAAATTTGGATATAGATTCAATTTTTTTTCGGTTTAGGTTCGGTTAGGAGATCAATTCAGTTGCAAATGCCCATACTAGTCTATGTGTGTGGTAGCAATTATCTAACAATCCGGAGAAGATCTAATTTATCTGTGCAATTGTCAAAGTATTTCTCAATGTATTTTTTTTTTTTGGATTTTCTATATTCTAATTTTCGGATATCCATTAGAGTTCGGGTTGGATTAAGGTAAATTTGGATATAGATTCAGTTTTTTTTCAGTTTAGGTTCGGTTTGGAGATCAGTTCAGTTGCAATAATGCCCTGATAGAGTAAAACTGTGTGTATTTATGAATATGAAAAGAAAGAATCCAATGTTCAGGAAACACCGATTCAGAGAATTACAATGTTCAAGCAACTAGTCAGACTAGCGACTCAATCACTGCTTTCCAGGAAAATAGAAAAGAAAAGGAAGAGAAAATGTTTACAAATTGTTCGATATCTAAAATGAAAAGCATCACTTTNAGTCAGACTAGCGACTCAATCACTGCTTTCCAGGAAAATAGAAAAGAAAAGGAAGAGAAAATGTTTACAAATTGTTCGATATCTAAAATGAAAAGCATCACTTTCTTTTTAAAGGAAATCGTAACAAACTTCTTGTTACTCCTTCTCTCTCATCTGACGTGGCCTATGACGTGTCTCTCACTTCTGAATATCTGTATCAAATCCTCCCTGTTTAGACAACCTTGTCCACAAGGTTTGTAAGAGGAAAACGCTTCTCCAAATCGTACAAAAACTCCCATGTCGAATCGTCTGCAGATTTGTTCTTCCACTTTACTAGAACCATCGTTGCAGGTTTGTTCTGTCTTCTAACCATCTTCCTCCCAATGATAAACTCTGGTTCCTGGACAGAAGACTCCATGTTAACAGAAGGTAAAACCGTTGAAGTGTGTACATCTCCCACCACCATCTTGAGTTGTGAAACATGGAATACCGGATGAATTTGAGAAGATTTCGGAAGCTGCAACTTGTAAGCAACCTTTCCACAACGATCAATGATCTCGTAAGGTCCATAGTATTTTGGAGCAAGCTTCTGATTGCCTCGGTGAACTACAGAGTTTTGCCTATAAGGTTGTAGTTTCACAAAGACGTAATCACCAATATTGAAGGACCTGTCAGTACGATGATCATTAGCAACCTGTTGCATACGATGTTGAGCTCTCAAGAGGTGAAACTTCAAGACAAGTAACATCTTCTCCCTTTCTTCCAATGATCTAGCTACCACGGCAACTTTAGTTTCTCCAGGCAAGTAAGGTAAGTGTTGGGGAGGAGACTGACCATACACAGCTTCAAAGGGAGACATCTGAATAGCTGTGTGATAGTTTGTGTTATACCAAAACTCTGCTAAGGGTAGCCATCTACTCCAGAGATGTGGCGCATCACTACACATACATCTCAAGTATGTTTCCAAGCATCTATTAACCACTTCAGATTGTCCATCACTTTGAGGGTGGTATGCACTTGAATAGTTCAATGCGACACCTTGCAAAGCAAACAATTCTTTCCAAAAGTCGCTTAAGAACACTGCATCACGGTCGCTTACAATCGACCTTGGAAAGCCATGTAACTTGAACACATTGTTGAGGAAAGCTTGTGCCACTGATGCTGCAGTATACGGGTGAGAGAGAGCAATGAAATGTGCAGCTTTGGTCAACCTGTCCACCACCACCAGTATCACTGTTTTACCCAGAGAAGGAGGCAAACCATCTATAAAATCCATTGAAATGTCTGTCCAGATCAACTCAGGTATTGGTAAAGGCTGGATCAAACCGGGATAAGCAGTAGTGTCATATTTGCATCTTTGACAGACCTCACAACTGCGTATAAAAGCCTGGATATCTGTAGTCATGCCTTTCCAATAAAACAGACCTTTCACCCTCTGTCTAGTAACCTCTCGACCTGAATGACCCCCACCACAAGAACTGTGCATCCAATCCAATATCATCTTACGCAAAGTGGTATTGTTTGGAACCACCAGTTTACTCTTTCTTCTCAATATCTCTTGAGACCACGTGAAATGTCCCTTACTTCTCGGGTTCAACTTCAACGCCTCAATTATCTCTTTTGTTGTTGGATCTGAATCATAGCTTTGTTGAATCTGAACCAACAAGTCACACTCTAATACAGTCATGGCCATGTGCAACACTTCCGAACCTTCTCTTCTTGACAATGCATCTGCAGCTAAGTTCTCTTTACCCTGTTTATATTGAATCTCATAGTCAAACTCTAAGAGTTTGGGCAACCACTGCTGCTGAATAGGGGTATTCAGTCGTTGCTCTAACAGGTATTTCAAGCTGCGTTGATCCGTCTTGATTATAAAATGGCCCGTGAGAAGATAATGGCGCCACTTTTGTACTGCGAACACAACTGCCAAGAGTTCTTTCTCATAGATAGAGAGATGCATTTGTTTACCCTTAAGGTGACGACTGATGTAAGCTATAGGATGTCCTTCTTGCATTAAGACAGCACCGATCCCATCCCCACACGCATCAGTTTCTACAACAAAAGGCAAGTCAAAACGAGGTAACGCCAGTACTGGAGCTTCACACAAAGCTTGTTTCAAGTTCTTAAACGCTTCTGTTGCTTCATCTGACCATGTAAAACAATCCTTCTTGGTCAAAACCGTTAAAGGCCTAGCAATCACTCCAAAGTTTTTAACAAATCTCCTATAATAGCCTGCTAGACCAAGGAATCCTCTCAACTGTTTCAAGGTTCTAGGAGTAACCCACTCAGCTACAGCCTTGATCTTATTAGGATCAGTTGAAACTCCTTTCTCTTGTATGTAATGCCCCAAATATTCAACTCTATCAGTGGCAAATGCACATTTACTGAGCTTCGCAAACAGTTTATTGCTTCTCATCAAGTCAAAAACATTCCTCAGATGCTCCACATGATCTTCCATTGATGAGCTATAGATCAATATATCATCAAAAAAGATTAAAACACACTTCCGTAGAAGACTTTTGAACACTGTATTCATAAGACCTTGGAACGTGGCTGGTGCATTTGTGAGGCCAAAAGGCATCACCAAATATTCATAATGACCATTGTGAGTTTTAAATGCAGTCTTATGAACATCATCGGTGTTCATCCTCACTTGATGATATCCTGCACGAAGATCTATCTTGGAGTACACTCTAGAGCCTCCTAGCTCATCCATTAAGTCTTCTATTAATGGAATAGGAAAACGATCCTTCACTGTCATCCCATTCAAACCACGGTAATCGACACATAGTCTCCAAGACCCATCCTTCTTCTTAACCAATACTACCGGCGAAGCATAAGAGCTTGAACTTGTTTGAATAGTCCCTGCATCCAAGAGCTCCTGAACCATCTTGTCTATCTCATTTTTTTGATGCACTGCATAACGATATGGCCTCTGATTGATCGGATTAGACCCTTCTAGCAGTGGTATCTTATGGTCATGGTCTTTTCTGAAAGGAGGTAACGCTTTTGGTTCCTCAAAAATGTCTTTAAACTCCTCCAAAGTGTTCAAAATACCAGGGTGCAACGTCTCAGTTTTGTTATTTTGCACCTCTAGTGCGTGAGCAGACACCTCAGTCTCATCATCCAGTTGATGCACTGAGATCATTGCTAACTGAACCTCTGATTCTCTCAATTTGTTCAGCTTAGCAGACTTCACTTCTCTCACAGAGCCATCCTTAATACCATGTAACAAAACACTCTTCTTTCCCATTTTAAACTGCATTGTGAGGTTCTGGAAATCCCAAGTAATTGGTCCCCATTGTTGTAACCATTGAACCCCAAGAACCATATCACAACCTCCTAATGGTATCACCATAAAATCTGCTGTAAAAGAGATACTCTGAAAATTCCATTGAAAGTCATCCAACTTAGAACTCACTCCCAGTTTTCTACCATCCGCTACTTTAACTCTCGTCATGCCAGCAGGTTTCAACTCACATCCCAACTTCTCTGCTACAGCTGAATCCATGAAATTGTGAGTGGAGCCAGAGTCAATAAGAATGAACAAGGAACGTTTCTCATGCACTCCTTTGACCCTCATTGTTTGATAATCTGAAATGCCTGCCACAGCATTCACAGAAATATGTGCAATATCTGCTTCCACTTCTTCAGTTGACCCATCTTCTTCCTGTAACATCTCGTACTCTTCATCACAATCCAGCATAAACAGTTGCGTCTTTTTATGTTTTAGGTAGTGACCCGGAGAATACTTCTCGTCACAGAAATAGCAAAGACCTGCAGCCCTCCTCTTACTCATCTCCTCTTGAGACAGAAACGGTTTTGGCTTATCAAGAAGTTTATCTGCAACTTTCTGGTTCTCTACTTTTGTGTCTGTATCTTTCTTCGATGGTAACAACCCTTTATTCAACATCCCACTCTTCTGTGGCACCCAACCTTGAGACACGACCTTCTTTGGGTGTGCCTTCTCATACAAACGCCCCAACATTAAACACTGACGAACGGTTTGTGGTTGAAACATTCTGATGTGCATCTGAGTATCGACTCTCAACCCAGCAAGATATGCACTGACTAAGTACTCTTCTGAAAGCTTGACTCTAGTTCGTATGAGTTCAAACTTCCCATGATAGTCAACAATACCATCAGTTTCCTGCAATGCTTTCAACTCTGCAATCGGATCGTCCAAAACCTCCTCGAATCTCTCTTTCAACAAGGTTGTATAAAACGGCCAATCATGAAGAATTGCATTGCCTATGTCAGATTGAATCACCGCCTGATGCCAAGTAGACGCTAAACCATCAAAATGAATTGATGCTAAACCAACTTTCAATTCCTCCGGTGTATTATCCATCACAAACAGTTGTTCGACTTTAGACAACCACTCTTTCAAACGCTCACCATCAAATCTGGGAAAATCCAGTTTCGCCATCCGAGTCAACCCTGCGTAATTGTACGGAGCTCCAGCTCTGCCTCTCGCCCTATCATTCCCACCATAGTTCATAATCGGAGTATGAGAAACTACTGGTGATCCTCTTCCCATGTTCTGTTCGTTACTCGTCGAAGCATGATTATTGCTTCCTTGAATCAAACGAATCGCCTCGAACATGTCTGCGATATTTTTATCGAGCTTTGAGTTTTGATCGATAATTTTCGCGTTCTGATCTGCAACCGTAGCTTCTAATTGCTGCGTTCTCTCCAACATGTGATCGATTCGTAATCCCAAGCTTTCTTCAACACCTCGAGCCGCTGCTTCCTTCATCAACGTTTGAGCTCGTGTTTCCGCCATCGCCGAGAATCGTCTAGAATCTGATACCTTTGATAGAGTAAAACTGTGTGTATTTATGAATATGAAAAGAAAGAATCCAATGTTCAGGAAACACCGATTCAGAGAATTACAATGTTCAAGCAACTAGTCAGACTAGCGACTCAATCACTGCTTTCCAGGAAAATAGAAAAGAAAAGGAAGAGAAAATGTTTACAAATTGTTCGATATCTAAAATGAAAAGCATCACTTTNAGTCAGACTAGCGACTCAATCACTGCTTTCCAGGAAAATAGAAAAGAAAAGGAAGAGAAAATGTTTACAAATTGTTCGATATCTAAAATGAAAAGCATCACTTTCTTTTTAAAGGAAATCGTAACAAACTTCTTGTTACTCCTTCTCTCTCATCTGACGTGGCCTATGACGTGTCTCTCACTTCTGAATATCTGTATCATGCCCATACTAGTCTATGTGTGTGGTAGAAATTACCTAACAATCAGGAGAAGATCTGATTTCTCTGTACAATTGTCAAAGTGTTCGTTTATCTTTTGGAATCTCAATGTTTATACACTATTTGATTAGTATTTTGATATGTTGCATGCAGATTCAATGCAGAGACAAGCTAGAATCAGAAGAAGGACAAGAAGAATCGAAAACGTACGGTGACTTAGGATACAAATGCATGGGAACAAAAGGTCGATACCTAACCGAGTTCCTCATATTCACTGCCCAATGCGGTGGATCAGTAGCCTATCTAGTCTTCATAGGCCGAAACCTATCATCCATATTCACATCATATGGTTTAAGCATGATCTCATTCATCTTGATCCTCGTTCCAATCGAAGTTGCATTGTCTTGGATCACTTCTCTATCAGCTCTCTCGCCTTTCAGCATCTTTGCTGATATATGCAACATCATAGCCATGTGTTTCGTTGTGAAAGAGAATGTGGAGATGGTGATTGGAGGAGACTTCTCGTTTAGTGATAGAACAGCTGTTTCGTCTACCATTGGGGGTTTACCGTTTGCTGGAGGTGTTGCTGTGTTCTGTTTTGAGGGTTTTGCAATGACGTTGGCTCTTGAGAATTCTATGAAGGATAGAGAAGCTTTCCCTAAGTTGTTGGCTAAAGTGCTTGCTGGGATTACGTTTGTTTATGTGTTGTTTGGGTTTTGTGGTTATATGGCTTATGGAGATGAGACGAAGGATATTATTACACTTAACCTCCCAAAGAATTGGTCTGCCATTGCTGTGCAGGTAATAACTACTCAACATTGCCTATATAAACTCTATGTTTCTAGTATTTCATCTAGAGCCGGTCCTGAAATTTTGAGATAAATTAGTAAAAGAAATTAATAAATATTTTTGTAACAGTTTAAAAATATATGTATTTAACTCTTAAAATTTTAAAGTCTAAAAACAATTTTGCTCTGATTTTAGATTCATATGCACGACACTATCTTTTAATGTTTGTGTTTCTTGATCATTTTGGCCATTCTTAGCTTATGTATCTTTTTTTTTTTCTTGAATACTTTGGTTTCAACAGATTGGCTTATGTGTGGGATTGACGTTTACGTTCCCGATCATGGTACATCCGCTTAACGAGATCATAGAGCAGAAACTGAAAAGGATAGATTGGCTTCAAAAGCATCATCATAACTACAGCAACGAGACAGGTTCGGTCTCTAAATATGTAATCTTCACGACGAGGACGCTTTTGGTGGTAGGACTTGCAGCAATCGCGTCATTAGTCCCGGGATTTGGTACATTTGCATCTCTGGTTGGAAGTACTCTGTGTGCACTCATATCATTTGTGTTGCCTGCTTCTTATCACCTCACGCTGCTCGGTCCATCGTTAAGTCTATGGAGCAAATCTGTTGATGTGTTCATTGTGATTTGCGGGTTGCTCTTTGCTGTGTATGGTACATACAACACAATCGTTGGCGTGTAACAACGGAAGAAAAATAAAACTGTGTAAAAAGAACACAGCAACAGAAAGTTGGGCAGAGGCTCAGACCAAAGAAACAGAAGTATAGCTTACATGAATCTGTTATTGGAAGATAGTGGATTGGGAATATCCAAATTGTTGTATGATAATCTGACAGCTTTGAAATGTTTCGCAAAAGCATTTTGGTTCTGTTCAAGTGTGGAAAAGATGTTAAGTCTGAAAAATGTAAAAAAGAAACAAAGAGTTAAAAATAACGCGCCAGGTAGGGGTCGAACCTACGGCCTTCTGCTTAGGAAACAGACGCTCTATCCACCGAGCTACAGGCGCTATTGATAATTATGTGCCGTTGTCTATAAAGCTTTACTTAGTTGCATATTCTCAGATAAGCTATAAGCTTATATAGTACTTCCCACTCTTCCCGAATCCAATTTCATTTCTAGCTTGATTTTATTCTGACTAACATTGGTGGCGTAAAAGAACAAAACCCATTCAACACTAATAGTCTCAAGTGCCACCGAACTAATAGTGTATACAAAGAGATGATATAAATACATTATTCTGATACCGGATGGGGTGTTAATTGTTGTTTACTTTTCCTCGAAAAAAAAGGCCTGGTACGACAATCATGTTGAAAAGGCACAAGTAGTAACAGAAAAAAATCAACATGAAAAGCAAAGCATAAAATGAGATCCTAATTGAGATTCAATAAGCCAACGCTCTCCCAAATCCAAGAACGAAGCTTTTGCCATCAAAATGAGTATTTTTGCAGAGAAGAACGAGAGACGGTAAAAAAAAAAAATAGTCTCAAGACAATAGCATATTAACACCAAAAATAGTAGTTTTTGGAAGCCAAAATAGACCACACTTACTACTGTCAGGGCCGAAATAAAACCATTATCCTGGCAGATACGTTTCATTTTTGGTTATCATATAAAATCTAAATTGCGACAACTAGATCCTAAATACTCATGTCAAAACCACCCTTTAAGATAATTCCTCCATGAAAGCCACGTCTCCTCTCTTGCTCCTAATTGTAGATTTTCACAGGCTTGTCATATCCGTGCCGGTTCTACAACAAAGAGCGTTCAAACATATTATTAACAAAGTTTATAGAATGAGAAATTGCTTAAAGAGAGACATAGACAGAGATAGCGAGTCTTACATGATAAGACCTTTTAGGACCATTATCAACGTGCTCCAACCCAAGATACTGCTCCCACGCACCATATACATCCCTTCTCTGTTTCCCAAACATTTTTTGTTTTAGACAATTAAAGAGGTTTTTATAGAACTAAGGATAAGTAGCTTTTTTTACCTGAAAGCGGTTATAAACAACATCTGTGTCCTGCAAGTAGTCGGGACGTCCCATTGAAAAAAAAGCAAACTTCCACTGGATAGCATCAGAGAGAAAAACCATTAATATCAACCTAATATTTCAGTAGCTACTATCAAAATTAGACAAAGACATGCATATACCTTGGCAAACTCCTCATCAGGTACATGAAGTTTCTTTTGGATACGGGTCTTGATTTCTTCTAAAGTTTCACCTTCGCGGATTACCAAAACGAAGGGGTCCCCGAAATTAAGTACATGCTGCAAAAGAAACAATTGTTAAAAAAAGTAACCTGACACCTCAAATAACTTTTTCTTATAAGAAACTTAAGCTTCAAAGGGACTACCGTCTGATTTTGTCCGGCCTCTTTAGTAAAATGGTACACATGAATTAACCGATCACTGGGACCAATATTCTTCTCTTCCTCAGGTATCTGAAATTTCACAAGATAGTAAAAGAAGAAAGTCAGCATCTTTGAAGTAGTCATTAACCAGCGTATAAAACTGCAACTATCTTATTTGGTATTAGCTCAAATACAACTACTCATCCAAGCATTCAATTAGCCTAACACAACTAGGTACAATGGGGTGTGCGCTCTTCTAAAGCAATCCATGTGATCTACATCTCTGAACAGAGGCTCAAACTACATCGCCAACAGCAAAGAAATGGTCTTCTTCAATTTACAAATACTTCAACCATAGCAAGATCACATCATTGTAAGTTTGCCAAATCTGACCTTATAGAAAGCACATAGGCAAAAAGTTCAAAGTAACAAGAAATAACAAACACATGGAAACAAGGGGAATAAATTTAAAAAAAAAACACAAAACCAAAAGGCTACAAGAGACACAGAAAATACATCAAAAGTGTGGACAATGACAGAACTAAAGACAAAGAAGACGAGGCCTGGTGATTTACCTCTTCTGCTCGTAAGTTCCAGTAGTGGTCATTGATATTCTCAATTCTCTCGGTAGATGAAAAGATCTGCAAAGCGTACAAAAACAGATTGGATCAAAATTTGCTAAGTTTCAGAAGATTGCCAAATTACATCCACACGGAATTTGGTACATTCTACAAGCCATCATATTAAAATGGTAAAAAAGATAATAGCAATGTCAAAGACAAGAACTAAGCCTGTTACCTTGTAGATTTTGTGAGAATACACCTCAAGCAGCCTCAGTTCTGCATCTTGATGTGAAAGCTCCACCTGAAGCACAAGTATAGATTTTATTTGAAACCAAAAAACATTAACCGTCAGGAAAAAAAAGGCTTTAATGTGGCTGCTACGTAGATATGCATGCAGTATTAAAACAACAAGATTGCAAGTCGATTGAACCACCTTTGTTTTAAGCTCGTTAACAACATCTCCGATAGTACTCTGCTTAGGCAGTCTGATAGTGTGAATTATCACCTGCAAATTTGATAGCTATAAGGCTTGAAAGAAAATTACACGAACTGAAGAGAGCTAAGTTGCACAAATCTAAGTTCAACACGTACCTCGTCCTTTGTATCATGATGATAAGCTACTTTTAGAGTCTTAAGACCTTGCAATTCAGGAAGAGGAATGTCCAGAACTTCATAATACAAAATGTCAGACGTCTGAAAAAAGGGAAAGAACTTGTAATAAGTAAATCCGCATCGACATGAAATAAGAAAGTATAAAGCTTCACTTAAACCTACGTCAATCACCTGATTATAGTGAGCTAACATATCTGAAAGATTGTCAACTCCACGATATTTAATAGGCTGAGGCTTGGGTTGCTGGGAGTAGCAATTGTGAGGAGTAAGCCTAATTTTCGATGAATCATCAAGGCCAATCTTCTCAGCCAATCTATCCACAACATCGTCATACGTGTACAACTTTGACCTGAAAGCAGAAGCATTATGAAATTCCAAAACTGGATACACGATTTAATGTGTCCCTAGAGGTACTTACAACTCCATAGTAAACTCATCATCTTTTGGCTTTTCCAGAGTACGAAAACGCACCACCTGCGCGGATTAACAGACCACATTAAGACACGGATAATCAACACCTTTGACTGGGTAATACTTGAAAATTTTCACTTGTTCACCAGAAGAAAATAACACTTTGTATTATACTTCTTACTTTAAGTTGCCATGATAAATTCATCAATGCTAATTTGCGACCTAATAAATTATAACACAACACTCAATCCCAATTCACTAATGCAATTTAATTATACCTCTCGATTCTGTACATACTCCAAAAAAGATGGAACATCCGGGTATAGACATTCATTCTCCTGAATAGCAAGGGCTTTCTGATAGCAAATGATATCTCCATCTTCAATCTGAACGCAAGAAGCACATTTCAAAAGAAGAGACACCAAACAATGAATAATTGCAGTTAATACAGTGAGAACAACATTACCTGAGATAATCTGAAAGACTGCTCCTTATCCAGATGTTCGCACATTACACGAGGTTCAAACTTTATTTCCTGAAATGGGCACGAAACGCAATTCAATGGAAAGTTTAGTGCCATAAGTATGATGAAAAAAACTAGAATTTAAAGGCACCAGCCCTTACCTCAAAAAGTTCTATTTCCTCATCAGGAGCAAAGCCGGCCATTTGAATCAGTTCCCCTAGTATATCCAGGGGCTTACTGGAATTCTTCACCATGAGCCTGCCAACATATCTGCACCATATCGACAAGTTTTATAACAATAATGAAAGATGTAAAATCCAGTGAATATAAGATACTTGAAAGAAGAATAGGAGTAAGGGTGACAGCTTTTTCATTCAAGAGGAAAAATGAAAGGAAGCAGTATACCACTATACCACCTTTGTTTGAACAAATGTCAAATTAGAAAGTGGTGGATGCTTACCTTAGTACTCCATTCTCAGGATCATAGAGCTTAAAGAAAAGGAGAATGTCTTCAAGTGACTTGTCTGGGGGAGGAATAGGACGCCCATCCTATATATTTCAATAATTAGTAAAACTATTTGATTTGACAAATTGGTTTCAGAATTTCTTTCAAGAAATTGAGCTCAAGAACTAAAAAAAGTATTACCAGTCCACGCTCTATTTCCAAAAACAGAAATAATTCAGCATTGTTAGCCTTGTTTGATGCCTCTCTTAGATGGCCAACCTAAGATAAGATATTCAGAATTAGATATTTTATAACAACGACACTATTATAAAGTAAACTGGCTTACTACATATATACAGTCATTCAAAAAAAAAAAAGAATAATGAGTATGAAATTAGTAAAGCATATGAGCCCATGAGAACAAGATACACTTGTGAGAAGCAATGCCAGTTTATCATGAGACAAAAAATTGCCCCACGCCCTAGTACAAGAATAATCCCAACTAGTAAATATGTCTTAACGCAGATAATTATACAGATATAGATGGTTTTAAGGTGATGAATATCAAAAAAGTCTTGCACATAAATAATCCCATATGAAAGAGGCAACCAATACGCATGAAAAGAATTATTTATATGAAAATGAATAACTACCATCTGTAATTCTTCATGGGGTAACAAGGGGCGGTTGGGACGATAAGTACTGTTTTGCCGCTTTGCCCAAAACCAGAACCGCTGCAGCTGAACCGGGACACCAAATTCTTTGGCCACCTCTTCCTACAAGAGGATAAATTTTAAAGATTGTTATAGCTACAAGTACGCAAGAAACATGATAACTAGCAACAACTGGAAAGTTCCCATCAAAGACTATCTTATACAAACTAGAGCATAACTTTTTCTCATTAAAGCCTGATCACTATTCTCCGTTCCAAGATAGATTCATTTTACCAGAAATAAATTTCTTCACAAAACCAATCTCCTGCTGCGGATTAGGAAGATAGAAGCATCTACCTTAAATAGCAGAAAGGGGGTCTGTTTCTCGATTCGAAAACTCTTGACTTTTTCATGATCAACAAGATCAAAATGTATATTCTTTCCAATTTGCTCAGAGATGTCTTCATCTCTTGCAACCTTCATAAATTGCATTAGTAACATCAGTATCAAATCTATACAAGAACTAGACCAGATAAGAAAAAATTTTCAGACCCAATTTAAGAAAAGTAGAAAACCTTGATTGTCGTGAAAAGGTGAGCTTGAGCCTTGTACTTTCTTTTATCTTCTTTTTCTTCTTGTTCTTTTTTCAGCCTCACCTGTCATAACTCATAACATGTTAAACTCATTTCATTTAGGCAAAACCAAGATAAGCAAAGCTTGTAACTTACCCGTAAATGTTTTGCAACGTCGTTTTCATCAACGTTGCATATAATTTTATCCTTGTCGCTTTCCCGGATATAAACAAGCATGTATGCGTTCGAGTACTTTGTGAATTTAAAAGGTGGATTATTGAAACCAGGATTATTATGCGGTAACTGCAGAGACGCCAAATTGGACAGTATATGAAGTGAGAAATATATGACTTACAAGGCAAACATATAAAACCTAGAACAAGAACTCTACCTCTTCTTCACCACCATATTGCTCTTCCAATGCCCTATTCACATCTTCCTTTGTCACCCGTTCATCATCAAATTTATACCTGAAAGAAACAGAAATTTAGGTTGTCACACTAATTATTTATTTCAATGGATAAACTGTGAGAAAAAGGGTACACGGAGAAACTTTAAAGACCTCTTATATAGTGAATCTCAAGTATGAAACCAATATCACACTACATGCAAGTTTAGTGATGAGGGTAAACCATTCAAAAGAAAACCAATAACATATGAAGTATCACAATACATAACTCCAGCCATGCTAGCCTAGATGATGAACAAACTAGTTTTTAATAGAACTAATTCAAGTGTTACAACATACAAAACTTGATTTAGAATATAGAAGGATACATACCACTGGTCTGAAAGTGTTGGCCTAATATAAGCATAATAGTGCCCTCCATTAACTCCACCACTATGAACTAAGACACTGAAATGAGAAAACAGTTCAAGTAAGCAGATCAACATAAATCATGATGTTTTCTACGCTACAGCAACTCGATTCCCTTAGGAGAAACCTAGCCGAGAATCAAAAGAACTTGATACTCGAAGAAAACACCCTAATACAATTCTGAATAGTTCGGCTTGAATTTCTGTAACTCAAGTTACAAAAGGCAAGATACAACAGAAATACATACCTGTGGAGTGTATAGAGATTACGGATACTCTTGTCAGCATCAGGGGATAAATATTTTCCATTCTCTCTGTCGAGATCCAGTTGAAGAGGAAACTCATATCGATCATTAATCTATAAATAATGGTACGTCAGCACTCATCAACAGATATTAGTGCAAACCTAAAATAAAGTCAACGCAGTCAGCACTACATGCTAACTTTGTTGGCTCAGAGGAACTTGAAATACTAACCTTAACCATTGCGTCTCGCATAAAATCATACTCGAACCTCTTGAGCTGAAGTTGAAGTACGGGCGGAAAGTCGATAAACAGAACACCTTTTTTCGCATCCTGAAAACATAAAATTATTCAAAGAAAACATTATACGTGGGCTAACTAACCATGAATCAAATGCAATTTAATCAAATTAGAACACTTATTACTTTATAATGCTTTATATAAATTCCTGATATAGCTTTTAGACGCATTACAAATTATATACCATATGATATACAGACAGCTGGAAAGAAAAGAAGGGTACCCAATAGTGAATTTGACAATCCCTAAACATTCCCCAGTACCAAATTACGAGAAGGAGCGAAAGAAACGGCTTCACAACATAAACATGAAAAGAAAAAAAAGACAACCGACCTGCAAATCATGTCCTTCTGCATGGTATTTGTTGTCTCCTTCAAGGCGTTCAACTTCAACATACTTGTCAAAAGAAGCATAGACATCTTTGCAGCCTTTAACATCAAGCTGGAGGTCTGCCAATAGAAAAATTACGCGGATGTTAAGTTATCTTGATAAAGCATATTAGCTTCTGATAATATAAGAAGCCAGACGCCATGAGATATGTTACTGTTCAAAACTACATACCATAGAATGATTCTTTCCGTGTGGATTTGTAATCTACATTAATGCACTCAATGTAATTCATTTGGTGACCCTCAAACAACTTCTGTATTGTTCCCTCCACAACAGTTCCCTTAAAAGAGCACAAAATATTAAAACACAGATCATTAAGTGAGAATAGAAAAAAAAACCACGAAAAAATGACATACCTTCATTTTGTCCTCAAGCTTTTCACAGAGAACTCGGTTGAGTTCTTGAACATCATGTTGCATGAACGAATCATACGTGTCCCAGCCAAACGACTTTGTCAGCTCCTTTGTTGCTACACTGGTGTCATTATACTGAAGTTTGTAAAACAAACTCTGGAGCGCCAGTGGGATGCTCGCTGTAGGTGCATCAGTCTCAGTTGTTGGCATGTGGTAAACAGCCTACAAGAACAGTGCAAAATTGAGATGTCTTTATCTCGAATTTGGTGAATCCTGATTTATCAAAATTGAAAAGAATAAAACAAGACATGTGTCCCACCTTTCTGAAGTAAGGAATGTGGTACAACGTCTCCAAGAGAGAATTCATGTAGCATGTGGCACCTTGGTTTTTAAGTCCAACAAACCCCGTCTCTTTTTTTGAGTCATATGCCCAGTAATCAAGAACCTTCCGCACAGCAACTTCAGCTTCAATCAGAACAGTATCATTAACTAAATATCCACGAGTGGGATCGTTGAGCTCGCCGAGAGGCATGAATGATGTAAACCCCCAATCGCTTTCTCTTGCATTGAATTGATGTTGGGTCTCTGCAGCCATACAAAAAGAAGAATTACCATGAGGAGTGTATCTACTTATTCAAACAGCAGGCTGACCAAGGTTAACTACAAAAATCAGCATCACTGGCTGTTGATAAAGTTCAAAAGGTGCATGATCCACATAATCATGCTCACATGTTAAATGCTAAAGAAACCAGTAGCTAGACTCAGTCAAAGGTCCACCATAAACTCTTTTACAAACCCAACACTCAACTTCGAGAAAAAAATTTTTTTGCCACTACTTGCTCATTACACGCATGCATTCAGAGTGTGTACATGAGTAAGATACCTTTTCTCACGGAATATCTGTTGTTGATTTGATTCACTACAGTCAGGCCGAAATGTGCATATCTGCACCAACCGTAGGGCAAACTCGCAGCATCAGCAACATCTAAATACATGGCCAACTGGTCCACATTGTTTCCTTTTGGAAAAATCAATACTCGCCTGCAAGACATACAAAAAGAAAATCAGCTCACTCGATGTCAACAAAATAATGATGCCAATCAAGAAATCAATCACAAAGCATCGAAAAAGTGTAAAATGCAACTACCATTTAAAACCTCCAGCAACAAAAACATCAGAGTAATGCTTCCTGAAGTTGATCCTAGTGAACCCTGGGATAAGCCATGTGAATTTCATAGCGGGAGGTTCCTCAACCGTCGGATTCTCCACATCAGCAGCAGCAGCCTCACCTTGAGCAACTACAAAACGCATCAACAAAAAAAAAAAAAAACCATAAATTGACAAAAACCCTAACAAACAGTGACAACTATCCCCAAGTGCTATAGCATCAGCATACGGCGAAAACAAGACGAGAATACAAACCTTCCATGGGCTGAGGTCCCTCGACTACATCGGAATGCGGAACCAGCATCTCCTCATCCTCTTGCTGCTGTAAAAAATGTAAAAAACGAAAAAAAAAATCAGAGTTATGACTAATAGAAACCCTAATTTCACGATTCCGTGATAAACAGTAACCGTAATCACTCAATAAACGAAATCTCGACATTCTAAACATAATAAAACCCTAATGGATCAGCTAAACGAAGAGAACACCAAAACCTAAGCAGGTTTAGGTTAAATCAACGAAGAAACGGACGAAAACGACCGAAAAAATGATACAAAGGTTAATCGGAGATTACATACATCAAGCGGCGGCGGAGTCATCATAGTCATGTCGAAGAGTGAAAGAGAGAGAGCGCCAAACAGAGAGGGTAGAAGAAGAAGTGAGGGAAGAGAAATCGAAAACTTGGAGAGTAGATCAATCGGTGTCTCTCGCTTTATGAAGGGATGATTACGATATTTTCGCCAAGTTTGAGGGTTTATATGGTAAATCCTCTTCGGGTTCAGATTTTATAGGTTCTCCTGAGGGTTTTCTTCAGTGAAAATATATGGCAGGCTAATGAGAAGGCGACAGATATTTTAAGATGATGATGCCGAATGAGAAGGGGCCACGTGGCTTGAGCGTGACGGTGTGGGGAGATCTTTTGTTTTTAATTATCTTTTTTTTTAAAGTTCTGATAAATCTTTGTGTTAATTATGATTATGGTTTGAATAAGGTAAATATGAATAAGACTTTCATAGTATCAGAAAAAGATACGCAAAATCTAATACTTTTAAAGATTTTCTATATATTCCTGTTATTTAAATCATGAATAATCTACTAAAATAAATATAGGGGAATAGTAAATAATAATAAGACAAATTTGTTAGATAACAAAAAGAAATTATGAAAAATATCAAATATAAGAGACATATTTAAAATAAAATTTAATATAGATTGAAGGATTCTATTATTTAAAATGCCAAAATCTTATCATTTATCTTATTAAAACAGAAATATTAGATTGGCATAATATTTATTTTGTAAGTTTTTAGATTAATATATATCTTTTTAATTTATAGTTAGACATATATTAAATCACTAATATTTCTTTCTTTATACTACTATCCCTATTTCCAAACAATATATTTATTTCTTTGTATCACTATCTATGTTTCCAAGAAATATACTTATTTGTTCATACTACTATTAATGTTTTCAAACATCAACTATCATTAATCTTATGTTCAAACAATCAAAAATATTATATCTCACCCTTTAATATTTTCACAATTTTCTTTCAAATGATTTAGATAAATTAAAAAAATTCAAATAATATATAAAACAATGAAAATAAACTTCTTTTTATATGTTTTATTATCAGTTAATCGGTTAGTCTCGGGTTTTAGTGATTTTTTAAATATATATTTTTAAAAATCAAAACTGAATTATCGGATCACCGCTTTAACCGCGGTCTGTGTTGAATTTAAAAATACTGATTTAAATGAAAAAAAAATTAAATACATAAATTATTTCGAATTACCAAAATATTTGTTAAGTTATTTATAATTTTTTCATCATAACATAAACGTGCTTGCAAAGTTAAGACCAAATTTAACTTTGAATTTGACATAACCTATAAAATAAAGGTTAATGTAAAAAAATTTAGAAATTTGTATATTGTTTTAAAAATTTTGGAGAATTATTAACACAAACTCTCAACTTATTTTTTAATGCAAATAGTTAACTTTGGATTTGATTACTGCACGATTACATCTACAGAATATACTGCTTGGCGCTATTAATACAAAAGACCATTTTGATATTGTTCTTTAAACATAAAATCGAATTAGACAAATTCAAAACTATATAAGTACATCCGAAAAAATAAAATCTGGTCTTCCACGCGGGTCACGATCTAGTAATTCCTAATTTCTAAATACTAAACCTTTTTAAACAATATTAACCTTAATTTATAATTTTAAAATATTTTATTTATATGTACTATAATATCCCTTTATTTAAGATATTTATAAACGTAGGAGAAATACCCAATACTAATCTACCTTCATTTATAAGTTTTGTACTGTCTTACAATTCCAATTTTATTTGTAAAAATGATATTTATCAAAAAAAAATAATATAATAAACAAATTTGTTTGATAAGGGACACAATTATAATAAAATATCACATATAATAGAATTTTTTAAAATAACATTCAATAAAGAGTAAATGATTCTATTATTTTAAATACCAAATCTTATCATAATTCCTAAGTTTTAATGTCAAACCTTTTCTACACAATTAAAACTTAATTTTATTTTTAACAAATATTATGTTAGTTTATTCTTTTATGTTGTTTTAAAATAATATAACGTTTGTATTATTTTATTTATTTAATGTAATATCCCTTTTTATTTAAGTAATTTAAATTTAAATATGTTTGGCTATATAACCTTCTTTTTCCTTTTTTCTTTTTTTTAACATTTGATAAATTATCATATTAATTACAACGATAAGAAATATTACATAGACGATTTTACAACCAATAATTCTACCATCTTATGAGAATACACGTCTGACTGCACTACTCTGAACCGTCATATGAGATTCATGTTCGATGGCACGCTATGCATCATGCTGAAGATCTTTTGTATCCATTTTTTCCATAATCCGCAAAATTTATATTTTTCTTATGAGATTATACGTCTGCCTGCGCCACTCCGAACCGCCTTATGAGATTCATGTTCGATGGTATGTCCTACACCATAGCGAAAATCTCTTTTAATTACCATTTTTTCTATAATCCGTATAATTTACGTTTATGGGGTTTGAACCCTAAACCTCATGTGTGTAGAAGCATTGATGAACTCTTACCCTTAGTGAAACCACTAGACTTCTTCTTTTTTCATTTAACAACATGAATTTGTTAAACGGTAAAAAAGTAATAAAAATATTCCATCAACCAAATAGGAGAAAAATCATGATAAACACATAATAAAGATACATTGCTCTGTTGACTGAAGCTAAAGAGCATAATGGAAGAAAAGACATCCGATATCTTATATCGTATAAAACATTTCTCAGCTTAATATGGTTAGGTAGAACTTGACTGATGATATATTGGCCTGTTCGTTTGGTCGACGCAGGTAGGTGCGTCAGCGTCAGCGTCAACTTTTTTTTTAAAATCGTGTTCGTTTGGTTGACGCACGTACGTGCGTCTGACGCCGCGTCCGAACGCTGCGTCTTGCGTTTGACGCCGATAAAACCAGCGTCCGCGACCTAAAACATGCGGCTAATAATGTAATTTACTGGTTTACCC